AACAGCTTCAAAATGGGTATGGAAGATGAAAAGCGCCTCTGTCTAGCGAACTAGAAAGTATTCGTTAATCTCTTGCGTATATCATGTGTGCGTTATGTATTTATGTACTTCACCCTGTATCAATTGGTCGCGAACCCAGTTTTAGGTTTCGCATACTCTTCGATCACACATCTGTGCTCTGAAGAAAACTGAGCCCTTCAGATCGGTTTGCTACTTTCTCTTTGTGTGCAGACATAACGCAACGTAGGTGTATGCAACCCTGCAGCAGGCTATACAGTATGAGACGCAGATGGAAGGTACTATATATCTGAAGTATAAATATATCCTGAGATTGTATAATTTGTGATAGCCAGGCTTCACTGCCTAGTCCGTTACATAATCTACCTCTTCATTGCGTATGCGAATCTTGCTTGAGCCTCGCATCAATTCCTTCTCTGTCCAGGGTTTGCATATGGCAGGGTTCTACTTGTCGTTTGCGCGCTTCTGTTGGGATCCTACTTCGCGATAGAATACTCGGCGAAGCTGCCGGCCTGGTACCAAGCTTCCCTGGCCTTAGGTATATGATGTCTTGCTTGTGCCATCGTTTATGATGGATGTGCATGTTACTCAATTATTTAGGTATAGTTTTGATGGAAAGTACTAACCTACAGTTATCGTGTCAACGCATCGGATTTTTTGGAAAGGAATGCAGAATGCAATAACTACAACGTTTGATGGCGCCGTGGTGCGGACAACACACTACACTGGAATGACCACTGATCTAGCCGTACTGACCGCCCATGCCATAACTGGGTATGTCTAGGATTGCAAAACGCGTCTGTAGTCGACTGTCCGTGCTATGAGACGGTATGTGTATGTCACTGAATTTTATTTTTATATGCTGATATGGGCATGCAAGATACTTAAAGGTATACAATTTCCTTGTGAGTTGTTGGAAGCAAGCTTTTGATATTTATATACAAATCAGTTGACGCGTCTGTCTACAGTTGCCCTTTACAAGTATGTGCGTGCATCATTTTTCCAAAGCATCGTAGGTATGTACACAAAGTTCTGTATGCAAACACTCACCTAGTAAATCCATCCAGTTAATCTAGATCGCTATTATAAATAATAATGTCCACAGTTTGAGGATATGATCGTTGTTCGGAAACGCTATCGTCGTCCAGGTACAGATCTTATTAGATTTATTCGCATAGTACGCATCCCATCTACCACCGCAACATTTTGTTCCACGCCCATCAACTGACACACTTCACGTTGCATTTTTGGCCACACATACTCAGAGTGTGTCAACAACGTCAAGCGTGTATACGAATAGGTGTACAAGACTTCATCCTAGGACTAATCGGGTGCAGCGTATCTTGATTCATGTTGCAGGCGCGTCGATAAGAGCGAGTACTGGCAGTTCATGCTATTCGTACCCCAGCTGTTGTCCTACTTTGGTGGCAACATCGTGGGTGCTGTGGTATACAATTGCGAAGATATCGAGGTATGCAGACTGTATTGTACCTGTTATAACATGTGTGGTCCATGTTTGTTAAGATATCGAGGTATACAGGCTGTATTGTACCTATTATAACATGTGTGGTCCCTCTTTGTTCTACCACGTACCCCCGTTCTGTACAGAAGGGCTCAACTCAACTAGAGCGCGTGTGATATCGAGGTTTTTATTTTCAAATTATTGCTTTTAGTCCACTTTTAGTACCTAGGGAATTCTCAATGTCAGTAGTTGTTGTGGCCAGTACGTTGTCCTTGCATGTAAAATGGTAGAAAACGCAACTGTACGTATTCTCCCCGTTTACCACGAGTACCACAGCATATTATGAAAACTATTGAACCGTTCGGTACTTATCAGCCAAGCTGCTTCATCACGTATAGTGTGCTATATGAACCGTCTAAGAATGTCTTCGCTTGCATCGGCGGGGTCCCATAGTCCTTTATATGCGTCGTAGTCCGCAGACATCAGCTATCTGTTTTCATACATGCTTCAATGCTTGCATTTGTTTGGAAGACTCCGATTATTAGATCATCGTAGTTGACTTTGCCGACCATTCCCATGCACTGACCATCGTTATGAAACATCCTACTCGCTAGGCACGAGCCCTGTTCATCCCGGCCTTTGTATCGGGGGTCCTGGGCATCATGTATGTCTTTGATTTGTCGCAGATCTTCCACACTTCATTCTACGCCATGATGACAAGAAGCCAGGAAGGGTAAGTGCAACCCTGACTTTATATGTATACATAAAGCACATATATATATATATATATATACATATATATATATATATATACTATTTTATTATTTCTCTATATATATATATATGTATGTTGCACAAATATGCACGTACATACGATACAAGGATGAAAACTTAGTTCCTGTATATATATATATATGTGTGTGTGTGTGTTATATATATATATCTATATATCTATATGTATGTATATATGTACGTATATATACATATACATCTACGTGTGTGTGTAGATTTATATGTATGTATATATATATGTAGATTTATAAGTATGTATCTGTACAAATATGTACGTAAATACGTATTCAAGGATGAAGAGTCGTTCCTTTATACGCCCTTGCACCTGATGGGCAGCTGAAGCATCGACAAATCGTTGTTCTATTGTGTGCTCTGTCTTAGTGTATACATTTATGAATATAGTGATCTGTGGTGTGTATATCTTAAGTATTTAGGCATTATATTACTAGTATGCACTTCCACAGACATGGCAATCGCATTTATCGGAACTTTTTACCAATGCATGATGTGGCTCAACCTAGCCGAGTTACTACTGGTCTTGCATGTCTGGACTGAAAGGGCTAGTGTGCCCAGGAACTGTAAGGCCAAATAGTACTCACTGAGCCTATGAATGACTATTTGTACTCTCATGCTGAATAGTGCACTGGGCGCTCTCGAGATCCCTTCTCGCATCCTGTGTTGCCACAGTATTGTGCATATCCATTGATGACTGTACCTTTGCCTTTCAATGAACGCAGAGTTGAAGACGGGACTGCTACATGGATGCGCGCGAAAGATATTGTGACGAATGCAGTAGATAAAATGGCCAAAGGAGAGGAGACGAGGTGTCTGTTAAAACATCGATTTGCTTCGTACGCCTCCCTTGCCCCCTCGATACGTAGGTCGGGCTTGTGAATATTGCATTTGTACTACGAGCAGGCATTGGATTTAGTGGAGCTCAGGTCTTGTTGATAAAGTAAACTTCGGGAAAGACCCTGATTCTTTCAGGCCTTTCGAATCATACGCCTCCTTGTCTTGATGCAGGAGCTTGGGATCGGAAGTGTAGCAGTCGTATCATGGGCAAGTACAATCAGTGCGAAGCGTTACCAATATGTTTCTATGTAAGTACGAGGAAGCTGTCGTTCTCCCACCGGAGATTCAATTCATATACTTCCATGATACTCGCAATATATAGCAAGACGTATTGGTAAGGATGATGTGTTTTGGAGAACTTATTGCGCTATTTCACAGCAAATAGCGAAACAGTTTACCCATCTCTTTAACACCTCGGAAGCTTACCTCGACTCGTGTTCAATGTAGTCCGGCCGTCTGCTTGGGTGATACACCTTTTGAAACGACAGTTGCAAGTTGAGTAAGAGACGGTATAAGTACTACTCGGTTTCTATGCGCCTCTGTTGTGCTCTATGCTACACGTGCCTTTCTTTCTTCTCTCTATTGTCAGTTCTTTCTCTCCGGATTGGAAGTCCCTCCTCATGTGCAGGGACCGACGAAAATCCCCGAGTGTTATGGATGTGACAAATAAGGCCAATACCTGACCCAACTGCTGTCAATCTAGAAGGCTATGCAACTGCCCTGATACACGGCCAAGGCATCCTTCAAGCCCTCCCACAAGGTTTCTGATACGGGCCGAGGGCCCCAAGTTATGTAGCGGATTATGACATGCTTCTTTACCCTGATGCCGACATGGCTTTTAATTTTGTTAGTTCAAACAATGTCAATAAAATGTTGCTACCGCCTTATACAAGGCATACATATCCGGCCCATCGATTTCCGTTCACAATGGCATGGGGCACTCTGTTGCCAACCCACTTTGTCACTACAGACGTTAATGAAGTCGGCACGGTTGATGGCTACAACTCCTCTAGTAAACACCCTTCCGTATAACACGTATTTTCTCCTGAGCTACACCGATCAGGGAGACCTTCACTGGGCTGCTGTCTGTTAAAGTTTAAGGCCTCGGAGAATTGTATGCAACCCAAAATGCCTCTGTAGTTGAGATGCGCATGCGACTCTCACTATTCCCCCGCAACTCACACTCTGCAAAGTGCGTCTCGTAAACGTACCCGGAACGGCGTTAGGTATCGCAAGCGAGCAGCTCAACGGACTACAGATGCTAGGCGCACCACACAAGGTCTTTGTCTACAACTGGCGTGAGGCCGAACAGCAGTCCGTGTGTGATCTGCTCAGGCAATTCACAAGTCTCCCTCGGTATCGCAGCCACCGCATGTCTTGCACCAATACGTGCTATTAACCAAACTCGCCGCACGCACTCCACGCAGTACACAGTACAGCGGCGCACGAAGTGGTCATCGACACCAACTCTCGGACCAGCCAGGTACCTCTTCGATGAAGCTCTAGGCTACGAGGAGCGGATGGGGATGGTCAACAAATATTGTCCTTTGATCAGTGATTGTGACAGTGAAGCAACGGCACTAGACTGGCCTGATGTCATACACAAAATCGACCGTATGCCCGCCCGACAACGAAGATGAGTACCTCACTGTTTATGATTCGACCCTAGAATTGGTCCCTGAAGCTGGTGATGATCTTCCAATTGTTCGGTCGCTTTAATTTTACCCATCGTGGCAAGGACATCGGCAAAACACTAACAATCTAAATCCATCCTGTTTCCAGAAGGCTAAAAGAGCTTAGGGGTTGATGTGGACGTCTAAAGGGGGGGGGGTGGGTGGTGAAGGGCGTAAAATTCTTGATGACACGTCAGTGTTTTTGCCGAAGACGCCGACAAACCATTCTTTGCCTGTGACCAGATACTATTCTTGGGCGGAGAAGAAGCGGTACGAACAGTGCACGGCAGGAGACGCTTGCCGTTGAGTCGCGCATGTTGGCATTCACCCACACCCTTGTACTTGCAGGCGAGTGCGCGGCACGAGAAGCTAGCCGTTGAGTCACACATGTTGGCATTCACCCACACCCTTGTACTTGCAGGCGAGTGCGCGGCACGAGAAGCTAGCCGTTGAGTCGCACATGTTGGCATTCACCCACACCCTTGTACTTGCAGGCGTCGAAATAGATGACGAGCTTCCCAGTGGCTATGGGTTCATCTAGGACAGCACGTTGGGCGAGAAGGACAATGAATCCATCGGCCGCATGTTGATAATTAATCTATGACCCACCTGAATAGATGCGTGCTTCTTGAGCTACGATGTCTTGCAATCGAGTACTCTGCCTACGCTGACACATACTTACCATGTCCACTCGTCCCCCTATTGTTTAATCGATTGGCTCGTGCACGCAGACGTTTGTGTAGCCCACGTTTGCCCTTGCCATGACCCCTTAAACTCGCGAAATTCCCTGGAACACTCCGAGGCAATTTCCCACCATCCCCTCAACCGTGAAGGTGGGGATGTGGTGGGCGGTAATACAGGCGCGTTCGTCAGTGGTGAAGCACATTCGCAGACCCCTGAGCCCTAGCCCAGAACTCCACTTGGCAACCCTCGTCATCAACACCACATCACGTGCTCTCACAGGACGCACCTTACACACCCTGTTCCCAACTCCAGCTGAATGCTTGTGCGACCAAGCGGCTGATACCGCGGTCAGCAGCGGGTATTGTTACAGATACATTGCTTTGCCGAGGGAGTCCATGAAACCTACATGCATGCCGGTGCTCCCAGAAATTTGGCCTTTCTATATGGTAGCCTGTTTATGCTCGACTACTAGAACAGTCTTCCAAGTCTCGCCCGCGTGCCAGGATGTTGCCACATGACCCTCCAGAAGCATGAGCCCGAAGACCCGGATGGAACCGGCAAGGCGCTGTTCGCTGCCTGCGAAACTACAGAGATGGTCTTGGTTCAACCACTCAACATCAAAGGATGGATGTTTAAATCGTCTGCGAACAAATACTACCGTGAGGCGAGCCGGCAGAATAGACTGTCGATGAAGATCCCGTGTTCCACTCCGACGTCATCACCGATGTCTGTGCTGACGAAGTCATCGTCTCATACTTTACCGGGGTCGGGCACTGCCTGGGAAACGGGCGTGCCGCAGTATTGATCTGTATCCTCAATGGGCGAGATATGCAAGGCAGACATGGCTACGATACATAGCTCTTGCACAGTGTCATGCCTTTGCACAGTCTCATATTGCATTTGTCACGCCTTTCACGTTCGCCCACTTCTTACACCAGGCTACCAGCAGACCATATCCTGAACCCCAAATCTCCATGTTGGAAGACCGAGACGCACAGATTCTTGATTTGAAGGCTGACGCGTCTCAGACAGTCACTCTTGACTTGAGTGAAGCCCTGAGCGAGCACGTTTAAGCAACGCAGGAGGTAACAGCCGACAATATCCGCCTTGCCACCCCTTTTCTCACGGGCGGCACCAAGGTGATGTACTTCATCATCATCCCAGCCAATGGGTGCATGATATGGGACGGTCCCTGTGAAGTCACAGCAGTCGATGAGCACAGTCGCCACACCACCATGGATGGCTCCCCAGCCAAGGTTCGCCTCTAGTATTGCTCGGAACTCCAACGCTTGGCCCAATCACTTGCGCGTGGTCGTTCCGCCATCACAGTGCTCATGCAGGAGGACTGTAGAGGTGGCTAAGACACGCACTGCCCTCCATCTGAGCAAGAGCGCTGCCACTGGCTGCTCCGTGGGTCCCTTGACATCATCCGAGAGGATGAAGTACCCCTTTCAACATGTATTCAGAATATGTCGCGCATCAACAGATCACGACCACTTGTCAGTGTAACGCCCCCCGCCTCGCGCGCCAGTGCTCCCAGTAGACTGTCAAAGGGTGCGTTTGCTCTATCACATGACCTCGTCATGGGAGCATCAAAAATGGCTCAGTAGCAATCTGGTTCTGTACATCTGATCTCCGTGCCCAACGGCAGCCTTCAGTGAGATCACGGTCATGGGCACCACCAACACTTACCTAAGATAGGATACGTGACAACTGCATAAACCTCACACCACCACATGTAACATAGTTCGTTGACAAAATTCTTCAACAAAACACACACATATATATATATGTGTGTGTGTGTGTGTGTGTGTGTGATGTGTGTCTGTGTGTGTGTTTGTATATATATATATATATATATATGCGTGTATATATATATAT